CTGAAAAAATGTAATACAAAAATTATTACTACACAATTATTAAGCAGCACAACTGTTTTCAGCATTGATAATAATATGAAATGTTTCTTGAGCAGCAAAATCAGCATATTAGAATGATTTCTAAAGGATCACGTGACACGGAAGACTGGAGTAATGGCTGCTAAAAATCCAGCTTTGCCATCACAGGAAGAAATTACATTTTAATATATATTAAAATAGAAATGAGTTATTTTAAATTGTAATAATATTGCAGAATATTGAAATTGTTATTGTATTTTCGATCAAATAAATGCAGCCTTAGTGAGGCTTCTTTCAAAATATTAAAAAACTTTACCAATCCCAAATCCAACAACCAAATAGATGATTAGTTAGGTCTAGATTGTTTTTTTTTTTTAATGTTTTTTTATTTTTTTTATTTTACTATTGATATTTTTTCAGCTGTGCTTTAATTAGCATGCTGACAGTGTATTGTGCTTTATCTGTTAGACAGTTTGCATGGTGAAACCTTCTCAGAAAATTTGCCTGTGGTTAGATGAAAGCAGTTACACTTCAACATGAAATATGAAGTGTAATTCAAGATGAATGTTTCATGCAGCATTTTTAAAACAATACAGCGAACCAAAGCAGCCACAATCTCACCAGGAGCTGTAATTGCTGTCACTGAAACGTTGACATTTCACTTTCACATTTACTGGCCCTCGTTTCCACAGCATGTTGTATTTAACCAGTATGCTCTCGGTGCTTTAGTTCACTACAGGTGCCCAGAATTAACGAAGATGCACAATGTGGTTTGTGAGGGGGGACAAATTGGATTTCTTTTCTTTTGTCTGCTTCATTTGTATTCATTAAAACTCTTTGGGATTATTAGGAGGAGTTTAGTGTGTAAAAGACAGATCTATGCTGCGAGTAACCTATATACCAAAGTGTCTGCCGTGGTCATGATTGTCTGATTTTTTTTCTTTTTTGGTTTCATGTTTTGAATCATGCTAATGAATCATGTTATCACCTCAAGAAAGCATTCAGCCATGCGAGTCTTGGTCAGGAGTTATTTTGGGTTAGTTATTTTCCATTAGCTGTAGATATCCCCCTCCAGCCTAAAATAGCTTTGTAGCCCCTGTAAGTGTCTGCTCCTCACCTCCTTTTCATGAATTATTAATGCCTAGTGGTGTTATCCTACTGCATATTAGAGGTGCTTCACTTGCTCACAATCTGCCAAACAAACACAATATGGAGGCATTTACCATCAGTGCAGGGGGGAAAGTGGCGAAATCAAGACAACTGCATATTCACTGTTCTATCTATCTGTCTGTCCGTCCATCCCATTTAAGATCCAATATTTAAAAGGCATTAAGATATCTTTAAAACTTATTGAGTTACAGGCATGCAAACTTTGGAGAAAAAACTTGAAAAGAGCTTTTACACCATTTTTGAATGGTCACCATTGGCATATAATGCAACAAAGATTACTAAAGTCAACAGATTTTACTAACAGACCTACTTATCTCTGTGTAAAAATAACATTATGATGCTGCGATTTTTCTGAAGTCATTTTTACACCCCTGTAATTTGGCTCTGAATCTCAGGTGAAAATTGCCATTTTGACCCCCCTCTACAAAATAGTGGATTAGTAAATATTCATCCACGACATTTAATATTTTGGCTTTCATTACCATACATATCTATCTTTCTTCAGAAAAAAATATTAGCAAAATCAGAAATTTGAGCCGGGGACCTCTGGTTGAGTTGACACGGAATGACCCTCTGTCAATCTATCGTTCTATCATTTTAACATTTTATTGTTCTAGTGTTAATCTAGTGATTACGTCTTTAATTTATTACATCTTTAATTGATTTTTCCGTACATTTCTGCCATATGTACATTAACTGACAGTCACCACTGATAAGCTACCACTAAATATTGTAGAAACTTAATTTGCTGTAAAGTTGCTTTGCAACGATTTGTATCGTGAAAAGCGCTATACAAATAAACTTGAATTGAATTGAATTAATCCTAGTGTTAATGGTCTATTGATTGTTCTGTTGTTCTATCTCACTATCTATCGTTTTCTCTGTCATCTGTTATTCAGTTGTTCCATCTGTCATTCTGTTGTTCCACCCATCTGTACATCCATATTGTAATTACTTATTATTACTGTTATTTATGTTTTATTTATCTTAAAGTTTTTTTTTGAGTTTGTCAAAAAATAAAAAAGGTGTAAAGAACATATATATATATATATATATATATTGTATTTATTTATGCATTTATGCATTTTGTTGCAATCCAAATGGCTGAAACCAATAACTGATTAAGTAGAAAACTATGAATACCAGTAAAAATATTGATCGTATTAATTTTCTCTAGCAGTGATACACATGGGCAAGCCGCATGATTTGCGGTATCACTCGTGTCCATTACATAAACGGACTCAAAACCCAAGTATATGCTACAGAAACAGGGATGTTTGCCTTAGCAAACACCAAACAGACATTCCTGACAGATACAATTTAAACTATTATTGTATTTCTAATTGCAGCAAATTGATTCCGGGTGCCTTGGATTGGTCCAGAGTTTGATGCATGTGGTTTGCCTTGAGAACACAAACTGTGAGGAATTTTTCTGAGGATACAGGATGGGTTGAGCCTCTTGAAAGCTTTACACAAATACTCAAAACCATGAGAAATTCTTTAATCAGGCAAAACTGTGCCGAAATATAACAAAACTGAGAGAAAGTAAATTGTAGCGAGAGTGTGTGAGAGTGCAGAGTTTGTCTGTATGAGCAGCTTTGATCCACTGAACTCACGGATAAGAGCCATATGACCGAATCCCTCACAGTAATCCAGAAAAAGTGCAGAAATCATAAAATTAAGTTTTGAAAACCACATGAACAGCTGGCAAAATCAGCTGCGGGGCTCATGAAACAATAACAATAACCGTTTTCATCCCATTATGTTTTTATTTTGAAATGTTGTTGCTGCTCTGTTTTCCTCCTCGCCTGCTGTTAAAAAACATTTGTGTTTTACCCGACAGAAAGGCACTCTGCCGTCCTCTTCACACATCCATCTTATAAAATCGAAGCATTTATCAAATGAACACACATGTACACATTTGACTGATGTGCGTAGAGCATGTTTACATGTTCACGGAAATGAGCTTTTTATCCTACTTGACCGCAGACAGAATGATGGATCATTTTTTTGCGCTCATGGAAGGTCATTGCAAGCCGGTCTGGTGTGTTGCCAGTATTGGAGACAGTCTATATGATTACAGACCTGTTTTTCTGTTTGGAGAAAGATGTTCGGAGTGTTGTGTGATAAGGTGCACTCCAGATTTTTTTCTCATGTATCCAGCTGCAGTTTCTTAATCCACTCCCTTCATGTATACAAACATATCTACAGGGTTTTATGATGACACATTTTGGGAACCAAAGAAGGATGTATTAGTCATATCGCCTCTATCAACTGGGTAACCTACATGAGAAGGAAGTGAAGATGACAATTTACAGGGTCACAAAAGTGTGTGATCCGCTTCAGGACTGAAATAGGCCAATCTGACGATTTTAATTCATTGCATGACAGGGAAAGAGAGGAATCAAATTGCAAGCCGGTCTGGTGTGTTGCCAGTATTGGAGACAGTCTATATGATTACAGACCTGTTTTTCTGTTTGGAGAAAGATGTTCGGAGTGTTGTGTGATAAGGTGCACTCCAGATTTTTTTCTCATGTATCCAGCTGCAGTTTCTTAATCCACTCCCTTCATGTATACAAACATATCTACAGGGTTTTATGATGACACATTTTGGGAACCAAAGAAGGATGTATTATTCATATCGCCTCTATCAAATGGGTAACCTACATGAGAAGTGAAGATGACAATTTACAGGGTCACAAAAGTGTGTGATCCGCTTCAGGACTGAAATAGGCCAAGCTGACGATTTTAATTCATTGCATGACAGGGAAAGAGAGGAATCAACAAAATCACTTTCTCTGCCTGTCACAGTCTGTTACGTAAACTCTTGCAATATCAGTGATCTTTGCTCCTTTAATTTGATTATTTCTGCTTGTCTGCGCTTTGGGGCTTAGGACTCATCATGTGGGAGTTTTATTGGTTTCTAGGAATCTTTACGTGTAAAGACACTGATTTCACTCTTGATTTTTGTTCGTACCCTTTAGTCCGTATATTTTTCACTTTATGTTGACATGTCATACTTGTAACAATGTGTACTATACAAAAATTTGTTTTCGATCATTTATGAAGCCCATTTATAGAATTGCTATAAACAATCCAACTAATATTTGATTGAATTTATGATTACTTTAATTGAATCCTGCTTTAATTTTGTGATTCTGTTTGGTTGCTTTGACATGCTCAATGGAAAATTAGAAATCTGATCTTTACTGTTATCTATATTATGTTGGTTTAAAAAAAAAAAAAAAAGTAAACAAACAAAAACAAACTAACATTTTTATACTGTTTTCAACAGAGATTTAGATTTAACAAATGTGTTGTAAGCAGGGAGTAATCATACGTATTACATTTAAAAAATATTTGTCAAAATTATAAATATTTTTTATATTAGAATATTAGTGTATGTATGTATGTCTATATATATATATGAATATATAATTTTTTATATATGAAATATTAGTATTTTCCAAACTGCTTCCTGCTTTTCATTCCTTTTATAAATTATAATACAAGATTTAAAAAAAATTGTAACCTATAATTCGATTTTTTTTAAAACAATCTTGACATTTTTAACTTTTTGACACACCAAATTTATTCATAATAAAAAAAAATTCATAATAGGGGAGGCATAGGTCGTCATGTGTACAAACTGTATTTTTAATGTTTTTTAATACATCTGGTCACAAAATGAGTGCTATGTCATTGACCTTTTGACATCTAAACACATCATGCGTAATGTGCTGTATTTAATGTGGATCCTGGTTGTTGAGAGTGCTCCAGGTGTGTAACTGTCCATCTTTTCTCTTTCACAGCTCTGTATTCCATCATTCTGTTCTGCGTCTTCCTCTGGATCCCCTTTGTGTATTTCTACTACGAGGAGAAAGATGAAGACAACAGCAACAAGTGCTTGGTAAATCTCACACTCCTTCCTGTTTTTCCAGTACACCCATGCGTTTCGAAACAGATTGCCTTTTCAGCCTTACAGGGATAATTTACACACACAGTGAAAAACTAGGTGGGAAAAGAGCTACGTTAAGCTATTTGTACTCAATAAATAGTGTGTACTATACTAGGATGTAAAGCAAGGCTTGCTGTCTGCGGTTAGAAAAGTTAGCATTAATCATATCAACAGAAATGCCCTTGAGGTATTGCTAAGTGATATTTGCCTGATTACAGTTATGGCAGTTCATTTATAATAAGCCAGTGAGTTCACCTAGACTCCATATGCAAGAGATTTGACTGCATTGAGGTAATAAGGTGACGAAAACACATCCTACTCACTATATTGCTGCTCACTTCAAATGTCAAATATTTCTCTCAAAGGACGCCACAGTGATGTGCAAAATTGCATGCTGAGGAGCTTCCTCCATCTTGTAGAAGTTAAGATCTCTTTCCAAACTTTCCACTCCTTCTTCTCCTTTCAAACACTTAGAAGTGGCTTCGTTCCAGAACTATTGAGCCTCCTACGTAGGCAGCATTTTCAGAGCATCATAGGTACTGTCCTGAAAGGGAGGCAGGATGATTATGCTGCCTTCTTTTTTGGCTTAATTTTGACCAGAATTGCATATGTCCTTCATGGATAATGCAAACCTGTAATGCATTGTGACATGCTTTGGGAAAAAAAATATCCATCCAAGATAATGGTTGAAGCAAGAGAGTTTATTTTATTTTATTTTAAGTTTCGCTTTTTTGATTTATATTCATTCCTTTTAGTCTGTCATGTATAATTGTACTAGTGTGTACTATACAATTATTACTTTTTTTAAATTATTTACATTTATAGATAATATAATATATATATAAATAGAGTCTAACTAATATTTGCTTGAATTGATTCTTGCTATAATTGAATCCCACTGTAATTTTGTAATTGCATTTGGTTGCCTTTGGCATGCTCAATGGAAAAATAAGGATTTTAATTTAAAAATCTATTTAATATGTGCCTGGTAGTAGTTTGATCCCTACTGTTTATCTTTATACATGACGTTTTATATTATATTATATTTATTATATTATATATTAATGTATAAAAATAAAAAGTTAAAAAGTAAAAAAAAAAAGTTTAAAAAATGTATACAAAATAGGTGAGTCTAATTAAATGTACTATTTCACCCAATATTTGATTTATTTATTTATACTGTTTGTACACATTTTTTTGTGCATTTTTGCTTATTTTACTATGTTAATTACATTTATTTGAGTATCACATTTTTAGTTTTGCAACAAGCTAATGCCAAACTAATGAACTCAATTACTAGTTGAATCTCTCATGCACTTAATGTTATCACTGCTGTTTGTAAGCTGTACAAAGTTGCTCATTTAATGTAGAATGTTCCAAATCGGTCACTTGTAAAGTTCCATTTCAGTTAGGACACTGCATTAGCTCAGGTTTTGGAACAGAGCCACAATGTCTGCATCAGAGAATGAACTAGGGACACTATGTTCCTGACTGTTAAGTGCTGCAAATATGTAATTATACTCCAGCCCAAAGCCCCTCTCTACATGAAGCGTAATTTATCACGGATTGATGACTTGATGAATACAGTTTGATAAACCTGTTTTTTATTCTCTCATTACAGCAAGTGAAAAATGCACTGAAGTATACAATAGGATTTGTGATTGTGTGTTCAGTGCTGCTTTTGATCGGGTAAGTGCGATTTGTGGGTTTATAGTTTTCTGTGTGTTATTCAGTATTCTGTGTGTGTGTGTGTGTGTGTGTGTGTGAAGAGGTTGGTGTGAGCTTTACTATATCATTCACTCGTCATCTTCAACCTCCGTCGTGAGTAGTGTTGGGGTAACGCATTACAAGTAACGCGAGTTACGTAATCAGATTACTTTTTTCAAGTAACTAGTAAAGT